AACCACAAACGCGAAACCAGTTGACACGGCGAAGCCTGTCGACAGTGACGGCAGCATCGCGGTCTCCTACACCACCTCCTCTCTTTTGCTTCTTCTTGTTGTTGCGTGTGCGGCTGCGGTGGTGGCCGCGTGAGAGTGAGTGAGAGAGAGCCGTGCACCGCCCGCACACACACTCGTCTTTCACCCACTCTCTGTGTGTGTGTCCCCTTGCATGGACTCTCGCCCTCACCTCATCCCACGAAGCACACACATAATGTGCCCATTGTATATATGCATGCACACCCATGCAGGCACGTTGGTGCTCTCTTTTGCACGACACGCACCGCTGCCGTCCTGCCTGGCTGCATGGGCGGAGCACCGTAACTGTTTCTGTTTTGTTTTTATTGCATTGAGTGGGCGACCTCTCTCTCTCTCTCTCCCTGTGTGTGTGTTTTGCTTTACGGGAGCAATGAGAGTGTGTGCGCTGGTCGTCCCACGCTTCGGCTTTTTGTTTTGTTTTTCATTGTTTTGTGGTTGAGTGCACCCATTCCGCGGGCTGCATGTGTGTGTTTGTGTGTGATGATATGAGTAATTTGTGCGTGTGCTATCTGCCTCTCTCTGCCGTTGCTTTCTTCTGACTCTCTTGTGGCGCACAGCTGCTCTGCAATTATAGGCGCTGCCAAACACACAAGCACATGCACACACATGCCGTGCTTAAAACGCTGAGAATGCACGCACGCACAGGATTGTGGCTGCGGAGGCCCTCGCGAGGGGCGAAGAAGCCTGCGTTTTGTTTTTTTGACATGTTGCTCGGTGTGTATTGACGCGCGGCGAATAACGACACACCCGCCGTGACTCCTCCTGCTGGTGGCAACAGTCGTTGTGTGCTTCCGGTGCGCTGTTCTTCCGTCTCGTTCCGTGTGTCTGTGTGCGTGAGTTGTTGTTGTTGGGAGTGACTGCGGTGGGGATGATGGTGCCACTCACTGTGGATGGGTGGCTGTGCTCACTTTTTCATTTCTTTTCTATTCATGTTTTTCCTCTATTTCTTTCTCAATCACACACGAAGAAGGGAAAAAAGCGCTAAACGCTACCGTGAAATTCGAAGGCTCTGAAAGGACCAACAGCACACACACCGCCCACACACACACACACACATATTTATATGCTCTCACGTGTTGCTGCAGTGAAGGCACCCCGCACACACAACCGTCGCCGCGTGACCGGATCCAGCGGAAGGAGGAGGGAAGGAAGAGAGAGTGAGCGGCGGATGCCCAACATGTCCCGGCGTGCGTTTACTTCCGCTGTGCTGCTCCTCCTCGTCGTGATGATGAGCTGCTGCACCGGTGGAGCTGCATCCAGTAACGACACGTCGCCAGTTCCGGGATTTCCAAAGAGGAAATATTTTGGTTGGAGGGGTAAGAATGATGAAGCAAGATTGTTATTGCTCCGCGTTCCCAGTCTTGTTGAGATGGATGGCGAAGTGTTTGCCGTTGCCGAGGCGAAGTTGAAGAATGGAGTTTTTTTAGTGGGATTGCCTCGGAGCTCCTGGAGTTGAATGATGAAACCCCAAAAGAGTTGGATACAACTCAAGTGAAGACACAAGTACTGGTGGAATGCTCTTCAGAAGAAGAGAATTGTGCCTCCCATGAAGCTGCTCAGGCTGGTTTCCAAAGCAAAACGAAAGTATATTTGGGGCAACCAACAACAGTTGTGGAGGGAAATGATATTTACATGCTTGTTGGAAAATACTGCCGGAAACCTGCTGCCGCTGGTGCTGGGGGGAGTGAAGCAGATAAATGGGGACTTTTTCTGGTGAAAGGGCCAAGTGAGTGGTAATGGGAGAAGCAGCAAAGGAATACTTTGGAAAGAAACCAAAGATATCCCACCGACAACTTTTGTGAAGGAACCTCAATCCTTGACAAGGCTGATAGGCGGTGGTGGATCGGGTGTCCACACGGGAGACGGTACTTTTTTGTTCCCAGTGGAAGCCACGAAGAAGGAAAAGGATGAAAAGACCATTTCGTTGGTTATATGCTCGAAGGATACTGAGAGCTGGACGCTGTCGAAGGGAATATCTGCCGATGGCTGCAGCGATCCCTCCGTCGTGGAGTGGAAGGACAAAAAACTCATCATGATGACTGCGTGTGATGATGGCCGCCGCAGGGTGTACGAGTCCGGTGACAAGGGGGATTCGTGGACGGAGGCACTCGGGACACTCTCGCGCGTGTGGAGCAGCAAAAAGGTCGGAAGTGAGAAGGCCGTTAGGAGCGGGTTCATCACAGCGACGATTGAGGACAGGGACGTGATGCTCCTCACCCTGCCGGTGTATTCCAAGACTGAGAGCGAAGAAAATGGAAAGGGCAGACTCCATCTTTGGCTGACGGACAATAAGTACATTGCTGATATTGGGCCGGTATCTGTGGAAGGAGACGATGAGGTTGTCGCCAGCTCCCTGCTGTACAAAAGTGGAGATAATAATGAGTTGATTGCACTGTACGAGAAGAAGAAGGGCGATGAGGAGAAACCATTACTCGGTATGGTCTCTGTGCTTCTGACTGAGCAGCTGGAGCGGGTGAAGGAGGTGCTGACGACATGGAAAAAAGTGGACGAACGTGTCTCCCAGCTGTGCACCACTTTAAATGCTGAGGAGAGTACCTCATCTGACAATGCCTGCAGCGCTGATGTTAAGATCACGGCTGGGCTGGTTGGCTTTTTGTTCGGCAAATTCTTTGAGAACACATGGAGGGACGAGTAACTCGGGGTGAACGCCACAGTGAAGAGCGGTGCAGCAGCGGTAACAAAGACCTCCGATGGTTTGACCTTCCGGGGAGCGTGGGCGGAGTGGCCCGTTGGCAGTCAGGGGGAGAATCAGCTGTACCACTTTGCGAACTACAACCTCACTCTTGTGGCGACGGTGTCCGTCCACAATGTGCCGAAAGGAGATACTCCCATTCCTTTGATGGGTGTGAAGATGAATGACAATAAGAATCCTGTGCTCCTGGGACTGTCGTATGACAAAGAGGGGAAGTGGCGGGTGTTTTGCAGTGACGGAACGACTAAGCAGCTCAAACGCAATTGGGAGCGAGAGAAACAGAACTAAGTGGTAATTTTGCTACGGAATGGCAACCAGGGCACCGCGTACGTCGATGGTCAGCGTGTGGGGAGTAAAGAATGTGCATTGGAAGATGCGGAATTGGAAGTGGTATCACACTTCTACATTGGAGGGGATGGAGGCAGCGCAGAGGACAAAGAAAGCCGAGAAGGCGTGTCTGTGACGGTGACGAACGTCCTGCTGTACAACCGCTCGTTGAGTGACAATGAGATCCGCGTCCTTAACCCGAATAAAGTCGCCATTCAACAGTTGAAGGATAAGTCGTCGGAGCCTTCACCAGTTTCTTCTGATTCCGTTAATCCTAACACCTCTCCAGTTACCGCAGCTGCTCAGCAAACCGGAACTTTGTCTACTCCTGACGGAAAACATCTGACGGAACAGGGACAGTTGATGGGGAGCAGTGGTGCGGGCAGTGGCGGTGCATCCACATCAGCAGTGTTCACTATAACTACTCCTGCAGCAGGAGAGGAGTCCGTAATGCAGGTGGCGTCAGGATCATCTTCTGATGGAAATAAAAATGTGGATGGCGGTTCCTCTCCTGATGGCGACCCAACGGTGGAGACAAGAGAAGAAGGAACGAATGGGCAGGAGGAGGAGGTTAATACACAGGTCAGGGAAGTAAATGCTACGGTACTCAGCAGCAACCTCGGAAATGTGTCGCATGAAACTAACAGCGATGCCGGCAACATGCGTGAGAGCGGACTGCTGCCATCGCTGCTTCTGCTTCTGTTGGGACTGTGGGGGTTTGCGGCTCTGTGAGGAGAGACTGGCTGCCGCGTGGGACACTTGCGGCATCCGCAGCACGGAATTAATTCCAAGAACTAACTTTTTCCTTAAGATAATTTTCCTTTTTTGCTTTTTGTTTGTAATTTATATTTTTTTATAAATTTTTGTTTTATTGTTGTGCGTTTTTTTTTTTTTCTGTTTTTTAATGTTTTACTTTTTTTTCATTTTTTTTTTTTTTTGTCTTCTCACTCCCCCATCCCTCTTTTTTTGCTTTTGGGGGCAATCACTATGGACGTTTTTTCCTTTTCTACTCTTCCCTCTTTCAATTGTTTCTTCTGCACTCTTCCTGTGAGGGGTGCCGTGTGTTTCCCGCCCAACTGCTCCACTCGCACACCCACCGACACGCTCATGACGACGGCCCTGTGCGCCTCGCCTGCTGCACGCATGAGGAGGGGCCGCGACGAACGGCGCGCTGAGGGAGCCGTGACGTGTGGGCGTGCGACGAGGGCCTGTGGGGCAGAGCACACATTTCTTTCCCTCTTGTTTTGTTTTTTTGCGGCCAGGGCGGGCAGACACCCGCAGCGCCACACACACAGCCACACCCTGCCGCCGTTTTTTTGTTTTATTTATTCGATGGATGTGTGCTGCCACCGTGCGTGATTTTTGAGGTTGGGGCCGTGCCGCATGTATTGCTGCCATCCAGCTGTGCCTCTTGCTGTGTTGATGTGCCTCCATCTGCTTCTCTTCTCTTTTTTTCTGCTTCTCCAGCACAGACATAAGTATTTGCGCAGTGCTCTACAGGAATGCTCTTGGCGACGGTGGGACGTTGGTTTGCATCCCATGCCGAGATCGCGAGGCCGCTGCGTGTGTGCCTGCGGTGGGAATCACGGTGCCATTGGATATGTGTGGGAAGCCTTTTGCATTGAGTTTGTGGCCGGCTGACGCGGCTGCACGACGCCCGCCGTGCGTGAAGGTGTTGCCTGCTCTTGGGGTCATTCTTTTCTCTGCCCTCTGTTTTTGCTTTGCCGGGTGCGTGCGTTGCTTGGTGTGTGCTGACGCGTGACGGACGGTGCCACGATGGCCTCCTCCGGCGGTGACAGTCGCTGTGCTCTCGGCACACATCCACACACACTTCCTTGTCTCTCTGTGGGAGTGATTGCAGCAGGGCATTGCTGCGAGCGTGATGGGGACCACGACGGCGTCACCCCTCGAGAAGGTCCCACGCTCTGTTGGTTGTGGAGTGGCGAGCCGGTTTGTCTGCAGCTCGACTGGCATAACCACACAGTCGTTTTATTGCGGTCACTCCGTCGGCATCACCCGCCGCGGTGGTGTCCGCAAGAGCCGCAGCCCCGATGAGGATGGCCTCGTAGTTATCTGGCAGCCCAGAACTTCAGGCCATTCGCCCTTCAGGATTGCCCTGCAGCTCGACTGGCGCAGCAGCGGCCAGGCATCGTACTTCTCCAGGAGTGCAGGCACCAGTGTGCCCAGCGACGAGGCTCGTTGGCTGTGATGAATTCCACCAGGCCTGCAGTGGGCGTGCCGGTGGCGTGGCCTTCGTGGTGCGCCACACCTTGCCGTGCGAGCGCCTGTCGCTGCTGGCACCAACTGCCTGGAGAACACTGCCTTCCGCGTGCGCCCACCGGCCAGCCCCAGAGTGCACGTGGTGAACTTCTGCAGCCTTTCCACGGCAATGGCTCACGCTGCTCAGTTTGCGAGCACCATTCGTCTCCCTGGTCCTGCAGCGCCTATCGCGGGCGACCCGAATTCACACCATGAGCTGCGGGATGGTTGCTCACCATCAACGACGGCAGGAGAGGACCTCGCCGCCACCCCAACCGGCATGGAGTGTGATCTGTCCGACGACCCGGCACAGGCAGCGTGGATTAGCGGCGACAGCGTCTCGTTTCCCGACGTGACTGCGCAACGCGTACTGCGTGTATCCCACTTGACGTCCACCCGTTTACATGGACTCGGACCACCATCCGCCATCCCACACTGCAGGGACGGAGGACGGCATCCCGCGACAGGCAGGCATGCTGCCACGACGGAAACATGCCGCCTTTGCCCTGCGTGAAGCTGACGGTGAAGCTTCCACCTCGGCGTGTGGAACGCCCCTGTCCATTGTAATCACATGGTTGGAGATGCACCGAGGCACCGTGCGAGTGGTAGCCGTGACAGCTCCACAGGAATCTGGACGGACGGAATGGAGCATGCCGAGTGTGTTTTGGAGCCAGCATGCAACGCGCAAACAGCCTCAACAGGAGGCAGTCCACCCCAAGCTGAATTTCCCCACAAACGGGAGGACCGCAATCATGTCCTTCGCCGTGGCTTCTCCATGCTGCTAGTGGTCCGTGCGAAACAGCTTGGTGCCCTCTGGAGCCCAGGCCGGTGATACCTTGAGTCGTGGCGGCACCACGTCCCTGCCTTCTGGGATCGGCTGTGCTGTGGTGCTCTTGGAACTGCGACTGTGCTCTGCCGTGGCAGCAGGCAAACCCGCTCCTCCGTCACACTGTCTGAGTCTCACGTGCTGCGATCCCCACTGTTGTCTCCACACTTTGTGCTCGCGTGCTTCCTGGTGACTGGGATATGGATTGGCCCTTCACGCCGTGTGCGCCTGACTCGGCCATCCGCGACTGTTTGCCTAGCTTGGCCCCTGTCCTCGGCGGCGTATCGCGTGCGCTTCTGCGCCATCTTGCACCCGCTGCCCGCTGCTGACACAGAACGATGACCAACACCTCCCTTGCCGACGGCAGCCTGCGAGGTTCCTGGGAAATGGAAGACACCACTCCCATCCGCAACCACGGGAAGGACGCATGCCGCACAGAGAGAGTTTTCGGCCCCTCCGTTGCTTTCTGTCCTGCTAGGGGTGAGCGAATGACTGTTCCACCGCCGCCTGTCAGCACTGCTGGCACACCACCGACGTCAGCCTGGATCCACGCCACGACGCACGGCCTCCGAAGTGGTGACGCCTGTGAGTGACGGAACGGCACGAGAGCTGAGCGAGCGCATCGCCGTGGAGTGTGAGCGTCGCAGTGGTGGCATCCCGCGCTGCTCCGTCGCTGTCGCCGTCGCCGCTCTCGCAGTTCCGATCGGTCTCTCGACTGCGTTTGACACCGTTGACAATGGACGAGTGCTGGCCGTGCTCGGCGGGCTTCCGCGTCTGTGCCGTCGCGCCCAACGCTGGTAGCGCAATCACCTGGGAGGCTGCCGCGTTGGGGTGAGTGCTCGCGAGCAATATTCCCGACAGCAGCTTGGTTCAGCTGTGTCAGCCCAATGCAGCGTCGTGGGACCGAAGCTCCCTCTCCACCACGTGGATGGTCTGCCGCGCCGTCTGTACAGTATTCAATTTTCGTCGGCGTTCATGCACGCTGACGACCGCACGCTGGTTGCGTTGTGTGCGGACCTCCGTGAATGTGGTGCGGCAATGTCGACTGCCGTGTCCGTTGTGGCCACATGGGCTGCCGAGCACAGCCTGAGGCTCGACGCCGACGGGAACGGGGCCGCTCTGTTCTGCATCGCCTCACACCGACAGTCTGACGAGGACGCTGCCGACCATCGTCTGGGCGGTGGGAACCCACGCGTCAAGTCACACCTGGTACGTCTGCTCGGCAATGCGATTGATCGACATCTCAATTTCGTTTTGCACTTCACTCCCACTGCAGGGCAGACCGTGCCACGCTGCCATCAGCCGCGGCTGGGCGCAGGAGCTGGTGCGTCCCAGCACATCATGCGTTCCTGTCTGGCTGGATGCGTCCACACTGTTTCGCACCACGGCGGCGAGGCAATCGCACCGTGTCCGGCCTCCACTTACCTCCACAGCCTGGAAGTGCGGCATGGCGACAGCTGCACGTCATTTCTCGGCCCACGCGCATCAACGAAGGATACTTCTGCCCACCTGGCCACTAGTCCAGCACCGCTGCGGAGGATCATTGGGTTCCGCGCATCCACACAACACGAACGCCTCACGCGTCTCCGGTATATTGAGGACGTGCGTGGCGCAATCTGCTTGGAAACCATGCCGTCATCAATGCTTGAGAAGGCAGCGACGACCATTTCCGCTGCCGGGAGATGCCGTCCTCAACGGACTGCGACGCGTCTGTCACCACATGGGGATCTCCCCGCACCACATCCGCGCCCCTCATGCTGAGCACCGCATTGTTGTCTGAGGTACTGTGAGCTGCAGCGGGTTGGGCGTCTTCCAGCCACGGCACGCCAAGGACGCCCTGGACGGTGTCAGACGATCGGCCGTTGAAGCGGCCTGCGCCTCTCTGGGGCCATGTATGTGGATCCGCTGCGCTGCCACTCGACTCTCCGGACGGCCGAGCTTCCTGTGGGGCCTCACCGCACAGCCGCTGGCAGCCTTGCATGATCCTGCCGAGCGGAGTGTCCTGCCGCCGAGCATGGCCACAGACAGTTCCCAGTTCCCCGCCTGGAAGCAGCAGCGTCCCAATCACCCACACGAGTTCCCACCGCCACAGACTCCCTCTCGGCGATGGAGCCGCTCCGCCTTGGCCCGCTGGTGGTGCACGACGACGTCACCGAAGAGATTTGTACCGTGCCGCTTTTGCTGGTGGATTGAGGTCACGCAGCTGGCTCCACATTTCTCCCATGACACCGCGCAATCCCACGCAGCGTGACAGCGGATGCTGATGCCGTCATGGCACGTTCCCTCCCGCAGGACTGCGCCAATGCCTGGCACGTGGACTGCCTCACTGCAGTCAGCCGACTGTACGGAATGGATGTCCAGGAGGAAAAGGAAAGCGTGCACACCGCGTGACAGGCGCTTGTCGGTGTGGCGAGGACTCTATTCCTGGTGTTGACCGGGAAATCGTTCCCCGAGTGGCGGCACGGTGCGCAGGCGTGATGCGACTCCTGCCCTCTATTCGGCAGAATGGCACGCACCCTGCAGAACACAAATGACACCCTGTGCCGGTGGTGCCGTCCTTTCTTCACTGAGGAGACCGACCGTTACATCACCTGTAGTGGCCTAAATTTTTGTTTCCAATTATGAATGGTGGGAGTCAGAGACACTCTCTTTCAATATCTGTCTGCGTGTTCACACACTGGACACCAAACAACCCTGAACTATCCGCTGCTTGGAGGAATTTCGCGAGCTCTTGCCCACACGGGTGCTGCACTCGGCTGATCGTTTTCGAGCGGCTGCTGCATCACACGTTGTGGTCCAAATTTTTGTTTCCGATTGTGAATGGTGGGAGTCAGAGACACTCTCTGTCAATATCTGTTTGCGTGTTCACACACTGGACACCAAACAACCCTGAACTATCCGCTGCATGGAGGAATTTCGCGAGCTCTTGCCCACACGGGTGCTGCACTCGGCTGATCGTTTTCGAGCGGCCGCTGCATCACACGTTGTGGTCTAAATATTTGTTTCCAATTATGAATGGTGGGAGTCAGAGGCACTCTCTGTCAATATCTGTTTGCGTGTTCACACACTGGACACCAAACAACCCTGAACTATCCGCTGCTTGGAGGAATTTCGCGAGCTCTTGCCCACACGGGTGCTGCACTCGGCTGATCGTTTTCGAGCGGCTGCTGCATCACACGTTGTGGTCCAAGTTTTTGTTTCCAATTGTGAATGGTGGGAGTCAGAGACACTCTCTGTCAATATCTGTTTGCGTGTTCACACACTGGACACCAAACAACCCTGAACTATCCGCTGCTTGGAGGAATTTCGCGAGCTCTTGCCCACACGGGTGCTGCACTCGGCTGATCGTTTTCGAGCGGCTGCTGCATCACACGTTGTGGTCTAAATTTTTGTTTCCAATTATGAATGGTGGGAGTCAGAGGCACTCTCTGTCAATATCTGTTTGCGTGTTCACACACTGGACACCAAACAACCCTGAATTATCCGCTGCTTGGAGGAATTTCGCGAGCTCTTGCCCACACGGGTGCTGCACTCGGCTGATCGTTTTCGAGCGGCCGCTGCATCACACGTTGTGGTCTAAATATTTGTTTCCAATTATGAATGGTGGGAGTCAGAGGCACTCTCTGTCAATATCTGTTTGCGTGTTCACACACTGGACACCAAACAACCCTGAACTATCCGCTGCTTGGAGGAATTTCGCGAGCTCTTGCCCACACGGGTGCTGCACTCGGCTGATCGTTTTCGAGCGGCTGCTGCATCACACG